GCCCTTCCCCTCAACCTCATCATTTTTACAGGGTCTAACCCAGTCGCAATCAGTCTTTCCCCCTCTTTTTCCCATCTTCGTATCTGGCAGTTCGCCTCTCTCTGTGCCATCCTCCTGGCTGCTCCGCCCCTCCAACTTCCCATCGGCCTCGTCTTTCATGCGGGGACGCCCTCCTACCTCCCGGGGTCCCCTTTCTGCACACGATCCCATTGAGGCGTATGGGTTAAGCTGCCTTCCCTGCCCATACGGCATCCTACATTCTCCTCCATCCATCATTCCCTTCAAGCATTTACTTTCATCCATACTACCATCCCCTCTATTAACCCTACGGAGCCTCCAGAGGTCTTCGATGGGCTTCCGTCCACCTTCTCCTTCGCTGGGCTTCTCTATCAAGCCTCGATCAGCTTCTTTCCCCCCCCCTCCGACCTTACCATTTCGTGCATCCTCCCCCCTCCCTTCGCCACTTACTCCACACTCTCCTCCCAATACTACCACAACCACTCGACCCACCAGCACTTGCACTCGAGCTCCCCTGCTCCAACCAATCTTCCTGTTGCGATGATTCCTTACCTACCTCCCCATCAATCCCACACTCTCCCCCATGAGCAATTCCGTATTCTACCATTCCTTTTACACCATCACCCACACCTCCACACAATCTCTCATCCGGCTCCTGGGGCTTACGGGGGATTCTCACCACCCGTAGCTAACTTTCTCATTACGGGGGTACCCAGCCAACCTCCAGCCCATTCCCCCCCCACTTATGCTCGCTAAAACCTGCGCATCCCTCAATCCTACATTTCGCCATCCGCTCCCCTCCTCTCTTCGCTCTATTTCCCCCCATCCCCTTTCACTCAGCGAGGCCCGCGCGTCCCTCAATCCTTCGTATCGTCATTCGTTCCATTCTCCTGCATGCTCTACCATATTTTCCATTAAGCTCTCCACACCCTCATCTCTACCCCCTTGGGATCCTGTGCCCTCCTTGCATGTTCCGCGGGGGCTTTTCCTCATTCTATAGCCAGTTCCCCCGTTCTGATAGTGCCCAATCGAGCCTCGGTCCGTTCTTCCTCCCCTCCCTCTTTTGCTCACAGTAGACCATACACATCCTGATATTCCACTACGTAGTCCATCCTGCTCCTCTGTACGTTCACAACCATCCCCCCTCAGTTCGTGCTGCGGTTCCTCCTTCTTCCTTTCCACTTCCTCAGCCAGCGGGCACTCCATCTTGTGAACGTACAGAGGAGCAGGATGGACTACGTAGTGGAATATCAGGATGTGTATGGTCTACATACTCAAGAGCCGTGTAATGACAAACGGAAAATGAAGGTAAAAGGGTTACGTGCGGGTAAAACAAGGATACTCACAGCGCAGGAGCGCACGTACCGGGGCCCGATCACGCGGTCCCGTAGCCGGATGCAGACATTTGGAAGCAGCATATAAACCCTCCCTAAAAACCGCCTTGTCAACCCTGATAATGTCGGGAGAGCCCGACGAAGGCTTGGTTGCCTTTATTTTTAAACAGTGTTTTAATTGCTTTTAAACTTTTAACTGCTTTTAAACATTTTAAACTTCTCTTGGTGAGCGTGATTATTTTGGTACAATACATATATATATATATATATATATATATATATATATATATATATATATATATATATATATATATATA